CATTATCCCCACAATATCTCCGGCTGTCTCACTGTGTCAAGTCGGCTTCATGATGAATTGCCGACTTAGAAACATGAACAAAAGACTTGCGGCCCAAAGAAATCCACCGCTATCAGTGCAAGTTTTCCGCCCCCCGAACCGGCCTCGCTTGTGACCTACCTAAAACTCGCAATGCAAGGCCCACTTATCGACACCTTTGAGTCACAGGATACGACGAAAAAAATGGTGAATTTTTCTCGGGGCCGGCTGGGGCCTCCGAATGGCGGAGTGGTTTCGCTGGGTATATACCCGGCTGGGTCCCCGAGCCATATGTGACCGCTCTGATGTTTCGACTGTAAAATCGCTGGATATCCCTTTCTTTTGGCTGTTGATTCATTCGATGCTACGCTCGTTACCATGGCTACTCAGACTGCCGAGAAGCCGGACAAGATGGCTACCGTCACGATGCCGCAATTAAGTTCCGATCCGCTTTCCGGCCCCATCCCGGCCGCGTCCGAGCCTGCCCGGCCCGCTGCCGTTGATGATGTGGTCATGGAAATGCCCACTTGGCGCAAGTGGGTTACATTGTTCGTCGTCTGCTGGATGGCCCTGCCGGTTACTTTCTCTGGAAGCTCGATCTTGACAGCGACGAAAGAGGTCGCTGCAGATTTTGGTGTTTCAACACATGCAATCAGCACGGCTAACGCCGGCGTTTTCATCGCCATGGCCCTGTCGGCTTTGATCTGGCTCCCAACCAGCAACATCCTGGGCCGAAGGACTGCATACCTGCTGGCGAACTCTCTCTTGACTCTTTGCTCGATCGGATCTGCGCTGTCGAACAACTTGGCTTGTTTTACAGCCATCTGGGTCATTGGAGGAACAACGGGTCCGTTTTTCCTCGTTGCGGGACAGACTATCTTGGCGGACATCTTTGAGCCGGTGAGTAAGCACAACGAGGGCAATAAAAAGGATCTAACATCAGCGTTAGACAACCCGAGGTACCGCTGTAGGGTTCTTTCTTGGAAGTTGTGTTGCTGCAAACACAATAGGTAGGTCACAACGTCGAATTCAAGAGACAAACTCTGACTTTTATAGCACCTTTGACTGGCGGCGTCATTGTTGCATTCGCTAGTTGGAGAATCATCTATGGCGTTCAAGCTGGAATGACTTTCATTGGCCTGATACTGGCGTATTTCTTCGTCCCGAGAGCAAGCGAGCTCACGCACCTGAAAGTCCCCGAGAAGGCCCCTGTCCATTCTGTCAGGGAGATGATGCATGCATTCAACCCCATGGGCGTTCTGAGGGCTTTCAAATACCCCAACATTCTGGCTGCAGTAAGCCTTCTATCCTCAATCATATTTATTCGCGCGCTAAATTTGGATAAAGAATGTCACTTGCGGCTTGCTGGGCTTCAACCAGTATGGTCTTCTTAGTTCCGTCCGACGCGTCATCAACCCTCGTTTCGGCCTGACCTCACCCTTGATCAGTGGCCTCTTCTACCTGGCACCAGGCGCCGGTTTCTTGTTGGGCAGTACTCTTGGAGGAAGGCTCTCGGATCACACCGTGAAGAGGTACATCCGCAAGCGCAACGGACTTCGTCTCCCCCAGGACAGGTTGAGGGCCAGTCTGCCAGCAATCTTTGTCATCTTGCCTGTGGGTACGCTGTTGTATGGCTGGAGTGTACAAAAGGAGGTTGGCGGCATGCCACTACCCATTATCAGTTCCTTCGTGCAGGGTCTCGGACTCATGTGGTCATTTAGTGGTCTCAACACGTATTCAGCCGGTAAGTCTATGGCTCGACTACGTCACTTAGTCGTGAAATTGCTAAGCAATATTGCAGAGGCTCTTCCGGAGCATCGCACAGCTGTGATCAGCGGCAAGTATATCATTCAATACAGTTTTGGAGCTGGTGCTGTTGGTGGTCTGGTCCCCATGATTGATGCCATCGGGGTTGGATGGGCTTTTACTATCAGTGAGTATTGCATCTCATTTTAATTAGAACTTTCGCTAAACAAACGTCGCAGCTGGACTCGGGGCTCTTTTAGGAGGCATCCTAGTGTTGATGATCGCACTATTTGCGTCAAAGGCACAAAACTGGGTGGATAAGGTTGGAAGTGAAGATGATGAGTAATGTTTGGGAAAAGAATGGTTCATGGCTAGCAGTCATCACGGGGAAGATGCATATTCTAGCAAGGCGTCAAGGGATTCAAACGGGGTTTAAAATTGCATTTACAGGCACGCATTCAAGCATATCCAATAGACATGGTGGTGGTGATGGTGGTATTGTTTAATCGAAGGCACGCCCTTGTATCCGGGAAAGGGCGTCAGTGCCTAGCTAATTACATATTGCGTTGGATGAGAGATAGATAATTACAAGATTTCCAAAGTGCATGGCCAAAGCAAGCATAAAGACGGATCGCGATGAGACAAGGTCTGCCGAAGGGTTTGTCAGGTACGTTGATCTCCTAGGCTTCGTTGCAAACTCCCCTGCGACTAGTCTACCTAAGACCCGAGCTCCTTTCATTGGGTCTTCATAGAGACAGCATACTTGCTCTTCGACCGAATCCAGGGACCGTAGTAATACAGCACATATGGGATTGGCGCAAGTACCGCGGCGATGCACGCCAGAATCGTCAGCGTGTAATGCGTTCCCATCTTGTCGTAGAACGGAATTCCCACGACTGTCATACCGCCGGCCACGATGTATCTAATCAAGGCCACGAACGTAAGTGCCGAGGCCGAGTAGATCTCGTATGAGTCGATGATGTACATGTAAACGCACATGAAGATGCCCGTTACGCCGTACCCAAACATTACAACTGCAAAAATGGCCGACCAAATGCTGATGCTGGCGAAGTTGGTCCAGCCCAGCCAGAACAGGGATACGGGGACAGAAATGGCGGCTCCGAACATGGCGTACCACAATCGGATTTCCGGCTCGAAAGATCCGTCCTCGGTCTGCTTCATTCTGTTTACCGTCATGCGGTACACAAGTGGAACAAATGCAAAGTTGATCTGCGTCCCGACAAACATGGCGATGAATATGATGTTGGCGAGGCCTTGGTCGAGTCCGTATGTCTTTTCGAAGATATCCGGCCAGCCAACCAGGAAAGTGAAGAGAACGATATAGACGACGGTGATGTACAGCGTCATGGCGATAATGATCGGCTCAGTGAGCATGAGGAACGGCCTGGTCATGCTAGTCTTCAGTCGGGTGAACAGTGTTGCATCAACAATCTCGTGCTCGGACCGAAAGCGGTTGTCCCCAGTGATGCGACGGTAGTGTGCCGCTTTCCACTGCAGCAACAGCGGTCCGTATGTCTCCGGCATACGCAGCCCGACGAGCACCAGTACGAGGCCGGAGCAGATCATCATCGTCCACTCGGTCCAGCGCCAGCTCACCAGAGGTGATGGTCCGATATAGGCGCCCATCACGGCACCTATCATCGGGCCTCCGAAACAGGTGATTGCGTACAGTGGGAAGCTCCACGTCTTTTCAACACGGTTGTACATGTCCGCAATTGAGCCACCGGAGCATACAAGCGGCGTGGATGCAGAGCAACCTGCGAGAAATCGGAACACAATCTGAGCACCAAAGTTGGGAGCCAAACCGGATGCCATGATCCACAACATGAAGACTCCCATTGAGACGATGTAAACGGCATTGCGGCCAAAGGTCTCTGAGAAAGGACCCGCAATTAGCGAGCCTACACCCATGCCAACAAGGTAAAGGCCTAAAGATAGGTTGTTAGCAAAATTCTAGCCGAGATATACCGACTGGTTTCCTACCTGTCGCCATAGATTCGGCGACTTCACTGACACCCAAGTCTTTCGCAGCCTGCGGGAGCATGGTCGCATCGATACCGGAAGCGGCGCCGACGAAAAGCGCAATCACGGAGATCTGGAGCGTCACGCCGACGCGTCTCGCCAAGGACCAGTTGTGAGGGTCGAGGGGGTCATCCGGTCCCGCCCATCCGACAACAAAGACCCGGCCGCCATGACCCTCGTGGGCGGTGCGGTCTCGGACGTGGATGCCGGTGAGAACCCGACCGAGAGCAGTTCCTTCGGAATACTGGGTCCGCGTCGTACCCACGCGTTCGATGTCTTCGTCATTGCTGGACTCGGCGCTGCTGTCGCTGGTCGGCTCTAGGACTTGGCCTGGCCTCTCTTCTGGGTGCGCTGGATGAGCCTTTTCTTCGTCGAAAATTTGACCTGTTTTGGGACGTTGATGACTTGCCGGTTGTGAGGAAGACGCTGCTGCGCCCATGTCTCTGTCGATCTGAGCCTGGGCGGCGACCCCTGCCCGCCTATATTGGAGAAGCGACTGCATCGTCTGGGCTGCTCTCCGCTGTGACCGGGGAATAATAGTCCACCCGCTGAAATGAATGTTGTCTGGGGAGAGTTGGCGTTATCTGGTCAGAGTGATGTTCCTAGATCAATGCAACGTGAAACTTGTTGACCTATGAGCGTTTCTTAAAAAAATGATGACAGCTCTGGGGTTGAGTCATGATTGTGATGCAAATCTTCGCAAGAGATTAGTGACCTCATCCATGGACCCTCACTGGAGCCCATACCATTATTAATCTGCTCGGGTTTTCCATGAACGGCAAGTTTTTATCGCCCTCTTGGGCTGATTGACTTTCATTTCCGCGTTATTTCCACGGCTATCAAGGAAAAGTAGCGTCACGATGCCTCTAGTACGTTGAGATAAGGGGAGCTCGGGCTTAGTCGGCACTAAATCTCGCGTGCCGAAGTACCTAACATCTTTTTTTTTCGGTTCTTTTGCCGTTTGAACCTCAGAGTTCGCAGGCGCAAGATCGGGATCAAATGCTTGTCTGTAGCAAAGTCTCAGCCCGCTACGGGCCGCTGCCGAGCACCAAACATCGGAATCTGAGACCGGGTGCTGCCGACATGCCGACTTGCTGTGAAATTCAAGTTCCACTTCACCATTGCCTCGCATGTGGCTCAAATTTAATCCTGCCTTGACAATCGAGTCCTTTCAGGTGAAGACAGAAGTGACGCTACACGAGTACTATCTCCTCCGGCTCGCTTTTGAAGAGATCCATCCCCCCTTTATGTGCAAAGAGGACAAAAGCTCCAACTCGCGCGTAGTTTCCGAGCTCCTCCATGGGATGAATAACAAGACCCCAGCCAGTTCGCCTGTGCATTGGATCCGCGCAGTACTTGCACGTGTCGATGCTCTCATAGCCGCTGGAGAACAAATTGTCGCCTAACAACGCTTCACTCGGTACCCAGTCGTCATAGTCTTCATCGTCACAGTTCGCAAGCCACTTCATTTTGCCCCATTGCGAAGTTGGCGAGCAACAGCTGGATATCAAAAATAGTTGCATGCTCTCTGGTCTCTGCACTGAAGTCTCGCTGACGCCCCAGTCCAGCATGCAGGTTCCGATCCCGCCTGAGAACTTCCCGTAGGACGGACGACAGTCACCGCTGGGCCCCAAAGATTTCCTTTCGACGTCCGAAGGAAACGGGCACATTTTCCCCCTCAGTCGAAGAGAAGCCCCGCTAAGAGGTCCGAAGGTGTTGCTGCCTTGAAAATCTATGCGGTAGTCTATGAGGGCAAACTCGGGGCGGACGTGGCTCGGCTGCGTGACAACTTCGAAGAACGTCTTTTCTTTTTCGTCAGCAGCAGATGTCGCCTCTTGAGCAGCGACAGACATTGAAAAGTGCCTGTCGGGCAGATTTTCGTGGCGTGCTGTTCTCGATGCCCAGCTCCATGAAGGAGCGATGTACGGATCTGCGTGCTGCAAGCTGTGTACTAGTGAGGCTAGGTCGCCAGGTAATGGCCGTGAGATTTCCCAAACCAGCTGGTGGTGGAGATCATTTTCCCATAAACCCGCAAGATATGTGTCTCCTGTAATCGTTGCAAGTCCCTGAGCGAGACCGGAAAGCCCTGGGAGAATGTCCTCTCGATATGTCCAGATCCTACTCTGGGCTTCATTCACTGAGGTCCATTGCCAGTATGCGTCTTGCACGCTCTCCGCCGAGTGATTTGTCTCGGCATCACACTTTCCGAGAGCCTTATTCATCACAGATCTCAATGGACCATGCATTGCATCTGTGGCAATGTGCCCGTTCTCGGAGATTGTCTTAGCTTCGCAGACAAAATGGCACATAGAAGGCCCAAATACGATCATGCGCGGTGAAAGAACCAGCTCCTGAAAGGTCCAGCCCCTATGATCCCACGAAGAGCGTTGGAGATCCACGTAAAGTGATGGGCCAGGACGAGGGGTCCCCATCGCATGCTCGTCAAGATCCGTAGAAGATAGAATGAGTCTGTAGGAGCCCCTGATGTGCTTGCGGCGCGATGACTCGAAATCGACGTCGAGACCTCTGGGCCGTGCTCCGAGATAGCTTTCGAGACAAGACTGCGAAGAAACAGGGCAGATGGCCACAGAACAAGAATAGTACACATGGCCCATCATCTGACTCTCTCGGTCCCAATCTTCCTTGTCTCCTTGGATGATACAAATAGCGTCAACCCAAAGGTACCGAATACCGAGCGCCCAGCAAACCTTGACTGTGTCCCGCACGACGGGACTCAAGGAGCTAAGCGGCATTCCTTGACAGTGGGTTGCAATCGTACTTTTCGTAGTCTTTACCTGCTTTACAGCGTCTCTTTTTGGTCCCCAACAATAGCTCAGTGCTGCATACTCCAGATCATCGATCGTTCGCAAGTTGAAAGCGTCTTTAGTGAGGATGAGTCGTGGGACATCCATCTCGCTCTGACCGACGTCAATAAGCCTAGTTGGTAAGAATTGCGATGCTGGTTTGATGTGGTCGCATTCGTCATCGCAGCTCTGAAGCTCTGACTTGAGCCATTCCACAGTGTCCGGGTCCAAAGGCTCTGGGGCGCACTTCGCGTCAACTCTCAGCCATTGAAGCAGGTCATCTTTCGCAGAGTCGTTAGAAGCGGATTGTAACAGATAAGCCGAGTAACCTACTGTTGCTGGTCTCAATGTCAAAATTCAGAACTGCAAGCTGGGCCGACCGTGTCCCTCCCTCGACCTTGTACACCTCGCACCTCCAGTAAGCCAAACCAGGATCTGTGACAGAGACGTCATTTGCATCTCCTTGTCCGCCCCATAGGTATCCCCCGTTAACAAAGATTTCGCCCTTGTACCCTACGTTCCGCTGGAGAAGCCCTTCTCGAATGAAGCCACACATGCGGCAGCCAGCCCTGGCAAATTCAGCCATTCTGGGCAAGTCGGGCAGTGTATCTTTCCAACTGCGAACAGGTTTCATGATGATGATCTTGCCTCCTTCTCGAGAATGTCGCAGGGTTGGCTCATTGTTCCAGTTCATGCCTTCGGAAAAGCCATCGGCGCTATCGTCGAAGACTACAACCGAGCACCCTTCGCAAAAACTCACATTGCCTGGGTGATCGGGTTCTTGAGATTGTTTTAGGCCCATGTCTTTTTGATGCGTATTAAAAGAGTGGTCATCAGAATTGTGTTCAATACAACACAAGTGAATGGAAACATGGACGGACGTTCCTTAGGAATGATCCCTGCGCATAAGCACTTACAGTTAGGGCACTTTGATGCAGGTTGATGGGGAGTCGTGTTGGAGCAAATCAGGGAGAACGGTCCTTTTGTATCCAGGGGGTCCCATCTGCAGGCTAAGGGTCACAGGGCCCGCTTTAACTAGCGAAACAGCTATGCATAACATGGAGGGAATTGAACGCAGTGCGGTGTCAGATACTTTTTGATTTTGATGTTGATGTTTATGTTAAGAAAGATTTGAGAAAGATGCCGTCAAAATCACGTTCCCTTTGCGTAGGACGAGATCAAAAATCTACCGCAAATAACAACAAATATTTTGATTTGGTTGTTTACTGAAAATAAGCAGTCGACTGAAGGATTAATATTTGTTAATACATTATATTTGCTTATCGACTTCTATCTGTTTATAGAACTGTTGGTATCGCAATAAGCGAGTCCAGATTGATCTGGTTACTCGTACTACTTAATGCAGGCTGACTCTCTTCTCTGACCACCAATCTATTTGACGTCAAGCACTAACACATCATTATGTTTGGTGAAGTCTTTGCAATCACTACATTTTATCAATCCGCAAGTTTCTTTGGCGATGGCGCAGACGACAAGATCGGATGTGGGTTCATTTGTGTCCTTGGGGGAGAAGGATCGAAAGTAATCACATCCCCTTCTCAGTTACGGACGTCTATCCACAGATCTCATGCTCACCGCAATAATTTTAGACCCAGCGCTCCACGCCTGACATGGAAACTTGAAGCCAGCCAGCGCCTTTCGCTCACCACGCCGTACCCGATCATGAGCACCATACACAGCGCCGCAGACGATAATAGCAAGGGCAGACGTTGTATCTTCCACTGGTCCATGTACACCAACGCGTTTGCCGAGAACGGGTGCATTCTCGTGCGCCACAAAGATAACGGCACCTTCGAAAAGGTACTCGTGGACAACAAGTCGGGTCTCGTAGCATTATCAGAGCAAACTATCGACAGCTTGGTCGTATCCGGACAACATCAAGCTAACCTATTCGAACTCGGTTCCGGAGAGCAGACGAGCCCGACCAGACTGGATCTCCCTGAGCGATACTATCGCGTACTGAAGGCAGGTGAGACGTACTCGCTGGTCTTTCCAGGAGCTGAGATTGGTATGTGGGCCTGGGGCAGCATCCAAGACAATGTAGGACTTGAGATGAAGGCTGGGACGCTACTTCCATCAGGACTCAGGTCGCGACCGCGTGCCAAAAAGGGCCAAGGTCAGCCCCAGCTGATCATGCCCGGGGGAGCACTCCTCACCTTCACGGCAGTGGCAGAGGAGGTAGCCTGGCCTGAACGTGCGGCCAGAGAAGCACAGGTGGGATTCGTGGCGGCGAACACGGAGGAGCAGAGGTGGCGAATGATGCAACAGGCAGCAGCTCGCCGCAAGGCGGAATCGTCTGTGCCGCTGGTCCCCTCTGATCGAATGTGAGTATCCAGGATTAATTATGCACGGTCTTTTTACACGAGCTAGGCGTCTAATGTTGCAGCAGTCCCGGGGCGCCAATGTTCTCGGCGTCACTTCGGTGTCCGCCCACACTGCGTGGCCGTGGATACTTCGACGTCGAGATCGTGATCAAGTACGAAGGCGTCGAGCGGAGTGGCGACCAGCCTGTGACATTCCATTGGTTATCCCTGGTGTCTGAACAACAGCCTGGAGGATTTCAAATCTATCGCCGTCGGCGAGGTGATGCTCCAGGCGATAGCGGTGCTGAAAGCGGTACCTGGGAATCCTGCGAGCTCGAAGAGACCAGCTTTGGTTTCATGATCGTCGACGAGCCGGACATTTCCGTTCGTGTTGGGCAGCACAACCACTTCACGAGCTTACGGCCGGGGGAGAGCTGGACAACGACCCAGACCCTCTCTGGAGAGGACACGGAGTTGCCTCGGGATATGGCCCCAGGTGACGTCTTTCGCTGCACTTTTGAGGAGGCTGCAGTTGATTGGTGGGATTGGGGAATCATGGAGGATCATGCAGAGACGGTGGTTAAGCTGCCTTGTTATGAAGCTGGAAATGTCACCGAGCCATCTGATAATGGAGGTCGGCCGAAGCTGGTAGTTTCTAGCGCGAAGCCAGTCGAGTTCGCGATAATCGAGTAGTTACAGGTAGTCAGATCTTGGAATTTAGCGCATTGCCTGTGGAAATCCTTGCCAACAGATTCTCAATCTGCCTAGAAATGCGATTAGAGTAAAATATATTCATTCGTGTTCGCGCCTTGCAATTTGGCCTAAATTGAGATATTTAGGCAGCCCCCGCAACTTCAGATCAAAGGCTCTCTTTCGCCGTTTGCGCCTTGAACCCCCGCATGCCATCCATTGTGCTGCATGGCAATGTACAAAAGATCCGCCTGAGCGATCACGAAGATAATGTAGTCGATGAGCACAAACCCGACCATCTGAATCCAGGCGAGGAACGCCCTCCCGAAAATCGGAAAGGGCCAGACCAAGCGACCAGGCCACGCAACTCCCACGATGAAGAACACAACCGCCTGCGCCGCGAGCCCCACAACGCTCAGCGAACCGAGTCCTGAGCCTTCAGGGCGCGCACGAATTGTACGTGCTTCCGCATATAGAGCAGCGATGCCAAAGATCGTGATGATCGGGTTCAGAAAGTAGGTGTGGAAGCCAAGGAACATAGCGTCAAACCACCTGCGGCCTTCCCTAGATGATGGGCTGGCTGTGACAATGATGAGGGGGACGAGAGAGATGAGTAGATAGGTCGTGTAGATGGCAGAGACTTTGGCGGGCACGCCGCGAGGTTCATCGCTTGGATAAAATACGATGCTTGAAACGAGACTGTGGTGTCCAAGTTCTTTGTTAGCAAACTGATGATTGTGCAGCGCCGAGGGATATGCGTACATCAGCGTCCATAGAGCCCAAACGATGGCAAACTGGGCGAGGTTCAACCAGTCGCCGAGGGATGCGGGCTGGTGCACGAAAACATCGCTGTCTTCGACGCCCGTCAAAAGGGTAACGTCGATCGTGAGTAGCTCAGTCGCAACTAAGAGGTTGAAGAGGACGTAGTAGAGGCTGACTCCTGAGCTGTCACGACGCGACCACAACCGTTGGAGCTGAGGTAGGAACGATGCGAATGTGAGCAGTAGGAATACACTGAAACGCGAAGATCGCCGAGTCAGAGTCGCCAACTTGTTCCCAGGAACATGGGGTTTGGAGAAGTAACGCACATTCTGAGCCAGTTCGGGACTGCCATATTGAGTATAGATGGGCTGGATGTGTCTTGGTTCGGAAGGTAATGCAACGGAAAAGGACCGGACGTGTGCGATTATGGGGAGTCCAAGTTCGTATTATCGAGAGATTGCTGCTGAGAGCGAGTGGAGGTTTATGTTGAACTCCCGCTGCGCCGTTTGCTCCCTCCGCTCCCACCATCTCCTCCTTTGTTTCAAATTGATGTCAGCCTTACCCGGCACCTGTGTTGGCCGCCCCGCGCCTCCCGTCTGCATGTACAGCCCGAATCCTTCGGCGAGGCGGGATGGCTATGCGCGGCATTTTCTCAGGAACGAACCCGGCTCTGACCAATGCAACCCGCGTTTGAATGGAGCTTGTTCTGCCGATCATCGTGTGATGCATATTCTAGTGCTGACTGGCTGAATAGAATGGCTGGAAGAAGTGGCCTTGGCTCCCGGCCCGCCCTCGGCCAATACTACCCCACGATTACTCCCCCACAGTAAGCGCCCGGAGGTTGTGAACATTTGCGGTATTGTCTCACCACAAAATATCATGATGTTTTGGTCAACGTGAGGATTGACAGGGTTGAGAAGAGAGTTACGAATGCCCGAATACAACTCTCAAGCCAGGCAACCCAAGTTGGCCTTGTCTTGGCCAAGAGCCTTGGATCCCGTCACGCCCCCAACATTTAATTATTCTCACTTGGTTATGCAAGTTAAATTAAAAATTACTGAGGTTCTTCCTACTTGATTGCATACTTCCTGGTCTTGTTAGGATCTGCGGCAACTCCCTCAGCCCACTCCTGCGTCGAGATGCTCGCTTCGTGAGGTGCCATGAACAGCAAGTTGAGAGTTGAGTTGAGGAATACTGCGTATGATCCTAATTATAGCATGGCTGGTTGCAGTTGGGGTCTATGGCGGTTTGTCAGTTTACTGCGGCATCTGGATGTCAGCTTCGTGAAGGCTCGTGATGTGGATGTCAGTTAGGCAGAGAGAGAGAGGAAAGACGGCAACTGTACAGGAGTTTCTAAAGTATTTCATTGATTCAATTGCGATCTAGAATCGTATATAAGTCTCTCTTAATGCCCAGGTAATTCTCTTTCCAAGTCACAGATCCAAGGCAAGAGGCCAGCATCAACTGATCATTCCATCTCTCGTTCAGTTTCCCACAATCGTTCAGTGCCTGGAGAATCTCTTCAGCATGAATCTCTTGTCACTCTTTCCCGCACTTTTGGTGCTGGTCGCCTCCCATGTTGCCGTTCACGCATCACCAGTCGATGCCAGCAATAAGGGCAGCGGCTCGCATCAGCTTCTTGCACGAGCTGACCCTCCCGTCATGGTGCCCGTGAACTTTGCCACGGGCCAAGGTGAGTGTAGTGACGAGAGAAAGACTATCATCCGCACCGAGATGTCGTGGGCGTATGCGATGGCCATCGAAGCGTACAGCGACCCGCAATTCGGCGACTACTACAATCACTTCTTCT